AACCTTTTTTAAATAAATAGCTATATACATATATAACTGTATTATAAATATATCAGCATATGCAGTGAAAGAAATTGCAGTACATATTTCTATTTATACCCTTTTTAAATTGAATCCCACTAGCGGCCGAGCGGTAAAATCTCTGAACACTGATAGTTCGGACCGAAGTTCGAATTCCGCGATCGGGCTTGCTGCATGGGCTTCATTACAAACATATTTCTCATAAATTGCCAAACGCATAAAAATTTAAGACATACAAAACCTGTTTTAAATAAATAAGTAACTAAATGTATTATAAATATATTAACATATGCAGTGAAAGGAAATTGCAGTACAGATTCCTACTGATGCCCTTTTTAAATCGATCCCACTAGTGGCCAAGCAGTAAAATCTCTGAACACTGGTAGTGCGGTCCGAGGTTCGAATCCAGCGAACGGACTGGCTGCATGGGCTTCATTACCAACATATCATTGGTAACTTCCAGAAGCATAGAAGGTTAAGGCACACAAAATCTGTTTTAAATATATATATATATATATTGTTTCAAAAGAAAAAATTGAGTTTAATTAAAAAAATTAAATTTAAATACATATTTAATTAAATATTCTTTGCGCCATTGCTGCAAGGAATGAAATTTAAATTTAAACAAATTTAAATTCTAAATAAATACGTATAAAAAGTAAAAAAGTAGAAAAGCAAATTTAAATTCTAAAAAAAAAAAAAAAAAAAAAAAAAAAAAGGAAAAAAAAAAGCCAAAATAATTTTAAAAATGCAAAACATGTAAAGATTTAATTCTCGAACTAATCTACAATATCATTTAATTCAGAAGCATAAGCAAATCAAGGTAAATCTATCCATGAAATAATCCACTAATTTAATAAATTAAAATTAAATTAAACATTTTTTTAAAAAAAATGCATATGTGAATGATCGTAGCGTAGGCAGGAGACACAGACTTATCAAGGGGAAGTTGCCTCCAAACCTAAGTATCCAATAATTAATTTCGGTTTCGTAATTTATGCAGGCAAGGGTAAAAGTCAAAACCAAAAGTAATTCCAATAAAGTGGTACCCTTAGAAATTAACATTTAAATATTAACATTTAAGAATTAAAGTTCAAAAAGGAAAATACTAATTAAGTCTTTTAAGAAACAAGCAAGTAAAGTCAAGAATTAAACTTTTTCTTAAAAAATTAAATTTTAAGAAAAAAGTTTAATTATAGAGAAAAGTTTAAAAAGAAAAAGTTTAATTAATAAAATTAAATTTTTTAAAAAATTAATTTTTTATAAAAATAATAAAAAAATTTAGAAACCAATGTATTTTAGAGATCCTTGTCTACAGAAACTTCCCCTACACGAATATGCATATCAATAAAAAGAAACTATAAAAGAACATACATAATCCATATAAACCAATAGAAACAAAAGTAACAAAAGAACTAATTCACAATTTTAAAATAAATATATATTTGAAAATAGTTTTTATTTAGAAAATACTTAGATACTACATAAAAATTTTTTTAAAAAAAATACTTAAAGCAAGTAAATAGTAAGTTTAATTCTAACTTACCTACTATATGAGTGTTGGGGGTCTGCAAAAGTGTTGTGAAAGAGAAGTAAGTGTGTTCTTCAAATTATATAGATGGCGCTTATGTAGGTAAAGTTGAGTGTCAAGCTGTTATCTTTGTTATAGTAAAAAATTTTTTGTAAATATTAATATTAATTAAATTAAATTAAATTAAAAATCCTAAAGGTAGTAATATTAATTATTTAGGGAGTTAAGTAACTGAGCCAATCAAGAGATGTATGTTTGCTTGAAGGAAATTAAAGTGATGTGGTATGTGAAAAAAATTAAAGTGAAGTGGTATGTGAAAAAAATGTAAACTGTATGTAATTTGAAATGTGTGTTCTGTTGAAAAATTGTGAAAATTGTTAAAAAAATTAAGTGAAAGATATTTTGTGTGAAAATTGCAAAAAATTAAAGTAATTAAGAAAAACTAAAATGTTTCAATATTAAAATTTCCCAAAATTTTTTTGAAATGAAATCCTTAAAAAAAACTCTAAAAATTCTCAGAAATTTCTCAAAAATTCCTTTAGGAAGTTAAATAAAACTTAAATTTGATGAAAGAAAATATTAAAAGTTTAATGAACTTGATTTAATTGGTATATCAAAACTTAACTAAATACTGGCTAAAGTATGGAAAATTAGAAGAAGAAGATTAAAATCTTCTTCAATTCGGGCTATAATTGAGACTTTTGAAAAGAGTTGGCCCTTTATTAGTAAAAGGAAAGAATCCAGTATTGATTAAATATACATATTTACAAAATATTTACAATAAAAATTTACAATAATTTCTCTACTCTTTTATATCCTTCATTACCCTCCAGTTAAGGCTTACGAATCAAGATACTATTGAATTCCAAACCTGCAAATTATTAAACACAACAAAATTAAATTATTTGATAAAAGAAGGAATTTCCATTTTCCTACTATTAAACTAATTAATTGGAACTCTAATATCTCTAGAAAAGTAATAGAAAACACGTTTCATAGCCAAATTATCAAAATAAAAAATATATGTACTGAAAATGACGATTTAAAGGAAGAAATCATAAAACTAATTATGACTTTGATAACCAAGACCACAAATTTATTAATTATATATTAAAGGCAGGCTTAACTTTATTAATTTTTTGGCTCTTTGGATATGATAACATAACCTTAAACCTTAACTGGAGGGTAATAAAGGATATAAAAGAATAGAGGCGGGCGCTGTGATCACGTACGATGGAGGCAGGATCTTGGAAGAGCTCCTGAATTTTCAAAGGTGTTTTCCGGAAAATCTTCATTTATTTCAGAAAATTTTCGCGAATATCCTCTGCATTGTCTCGTTCTCAAGGCCGGGAGTTCTCCTGTACCTGGGGGGTCTTGTCTTCCTTGCAATCTTTTGCAGCACTAAGACGGAGCGTTCAGATAAGTAGAACTTTTTTTCTCTAAGCTAAATCAAATATCTGTCACTAAAGTACTTTTAAATTCATTTATTTATTATGATCATTATTATTATTATGCTCATTTTATTATGTTCTGGCATTAAATACTTAGTAATTGCTTTAAATCATGTGGTTCTTTTTTGGTTACCATCTCGTAGGGACGCTATCCTTATCAGTAGCCCTTATCAGCAGTGTTAGCCCTACCCATTGGGGGGCCCCTTTGAGGAATTCTCGAGAGGGAAAAAACACGATCTCGGGCCTCAATGAATGTACAGAGTTGTAGTTTTGCTCCTTTAATCTATATTTCCTATCTATTTAAATTAAAAGCATATATTAATACAGTGTGCCTCAAATTGATAAAATAGTACACATATAATAAATTATGACCATTAACTTAATAAATAAATAAAATGCTTATTTTTTTTAAAAAAATTAATTAAAAAAAAAACTCCGTAATTTATTTACTTATTTATTTTTGCTGATATGTTCTCGCCTTGTTTTGGATTTATGATTTTATCTGATGGTGTTTTCTGAGTATATAAATATGTTGGAAACCGCAATAATAGATGATGTTACTTAGTTTAATGTATAACTTTGCATGATATTATATGTATCTTGATCTTATGTGTCTTCTGTTACTGTGTCTCAAGGTAGAGGCTAATATTGGTTTCCATGTTAAAAAATAAAAGTTTAAATTTAAATTTAAAAAATTTTTTAAATTTTAGTTTCCCTGTTATAGCAAAAGTTAGCTTCTAAACTTGACTTATACTGTTATGTGACTGGACCCCCAATATTTATTATTTTATTATTAATTTTCCCCCATCTTTACATCTATTCAGCTTTACAAAACACACTCATTACACACACCTGGAAGACTGTATTTAATGTAAATGATAACAACTTTGACTACACTCATGAACACAATCGTGGTTTTTTTTTTTTTTTTAAACAAAATTCTCTTACTTCCTTTCCTTTTCTTTCTATAGGCCTTTTTTTTTTTTTTTTTTTTTTTTTTTTAATTATAAATAAATTTTTTTTCCTCTCCATTACTTTTGGGCCATTTATTTTTTACTTTATTTTGTCCCATCTTTTCTTCCTGGCCTTTCGAACTCGTATAAAATATACGAAGTTCCTTTTTACTCTCCTCTGAAATACGAAATTGCCCCCCTTTCTATATACCTTTCCTTCGCACCTATGCTTGATTTTTCGCCCATCGGTGCAGAAAGACTTAGCGGGTGCAACAAAAGACATCTGTCTACTTTGTCTGTCTGTCTGTCAGGATCTTTGTGATTTTTATTGCATTTATGATAAACAGGCATTTTATGATAAACAGGAACTTCTGGACAATCCTGTGGTTGTTAACTATTGTTATGATACTAGGGACCCCAATTTCAGTAAAGCGCCAAGGGCGATCCTAAATGTTAGTATTAAGTAATTTTGTATTTGTGTTATGCAAATTGTTGCTCAGATTCTTTATTGTATATTGTTCTTTTTTCCTCCTGATTGCTTTTTGTTTTTACTAGTGGCACTAAGGCGTCGCAATTCGTATTTTGTTTCTCTTGTGTGTACATGTATTCTTCTGTGAAATAGTTGTTAAAAAATAGTTAATTATGTATGGATTAGTAATTAGGTACTTAAGGAAAAAAAATATGTATTTAACTATTAGCAATTATGAATTTAAACTCTTGCTCATTTAATTATTTAGCACATTCAGTTATATTTCTCATAATTCGAAACTTTTATCATGCTATTCGATGAGGGGTAGGGCTATGGCGCCCAGGCACCCTGGTGGTTAAGCACCGCAGCTCAACAATCAATCGAGGATAAATTTCTTAGCTCTATACTATCACTATTCCTTAATGTAAAGCTTATGGTACTCTTATGAGGATATAACCAATTTCGGAAAATTTCTTTTTTAGCAAAAAGGGTCAAAATGCCTTTTTTTTTTAAAGTATAATTTTTATTATTTTGAAACAATCGAAAAATATTATTTTTAATACGATTGTAAATTACGTCACATGACGTCATTGAAACTGCTATTATTACGTCATTCGTGCGGCTTTTTACTAAATTGTACTGCAGCAGCTGCAGTCCTTTAACTGGCTGACTGTTGGGTCTGTCAGACCACAGCGCTACTCGGGTATGTAATAATATTATGTCTGAACAAAATCACCTTTATTGTCTATTATATTCATAGTATTGTTATAGTTATACATTTTCTAATATTTAGATTCATTTCTTTAAAAATACCTACGAACAGCAATCGTTTAATTAATAGTCCTTTTAATGGAGATTCAGAGATTAGACCTACTAATGGATATTCTCGAATTCCAGTTCCTGTTAAATAATGTTTCTTCTATTTTTGTTAACACTATATGTTTAAGAAACAAAAATATTGTATTTTAAAAAAAGATAAAGATCGTTTCTTAATAATTTGTTACGAAACGTATGCATGTATGAATTATAAAGATTTAAATGTTCGATTTGGAGATTTCTGCTTTCATTTTTGAAGGAGCTGTTTCCATATGTTTGAGAAAATGTATTTAAAGCTGTAAGTTCTTTTTCATATATCAAATTTGAAGAATTATGTATTGCGTATTAATAAGATTCAGGTCTTGCATCATGAAGCCATTAGCCAGTAAATTTCAAAAAAAAAAAAAAAAAAAAATGAAATTAAAGGAAAGGGTTGCATTGCTTTCAGTAACTAAAATAATTATATTTAATTTATCTGGAGAGCTTTTAGAAATTTATTATTAAAATATATTTATAGTTGGGAACTGTTACTATTTTACTTAAAGAGGTTAAGTTTGAGAGCAGTCATCATGCTACTATAACTTAAAATTATGGATTATGCTAATAAAATACCAAAATTGAAAAGTTATTTTGTGAAATATGGTAAAAGATTAATTAAGGAATTAATATTCATTGTTGTATGTAAAGAATGAAGTCGCCCTTAAAACTTTCCTGGAAACAAATGTAAAGCTTATGGTACATATGTAATTAAATTATTATTTTAATAAAATTTTACTTTTGAGAGCTTTCTGCAAATGGTTTTTAAATTAAAATGTAATTGATGAATTTTTATTAAAATAGATGCAAAACATAGATGTGTGTTTTTATTCAGACTCATTGTTAGAATTCTTTGGAGATAAATTGCTTCATTTGATGATAATGTTCTATGTAAGTTGCTTAAGTTTAATCAATTAATGACGTTAGTTGTATCAGATATTGATACATAGTGGTCTGGTCTAGTTTGACATTGGAAATTAACCTTAGTGATAAATTAATATCGTATTTTACCTGTTTAAATATGTAGTTATTAGATGTTAGTGTAAATAAGTGTAGTACATATATTTTACATGATGGCAAGTTAAAAATGAAAAGTTTCTCAAACTGATAAGTTTGACTTTCTATTGTGTTGTCAAAAGTAGGTGAAAATGATTGTTGAAATGAAAGATTTACCAACTCTATATTTGACATTTATTAGTAATGTCATTTCGAGTTTTCTTTATGGTATTTTAAAGTATATTTCTGTCAGTGATGGTACTTTGGTTATTGTATTGGCATATGATTGTCTATGTCAGAAAGAATTGTCCTTGGCAAAACTGAGTCATATTTTAATATGTTGCTTCAGTTTTTATAGGATGAAATATTGAAGTATATTTGAGAAGAGATTTCTTGTCTATCATTTGTCAATACTCTCTCTCTGTATTCTAGGGAATTTTTAAAATGATTTGCTTGCAGAACAAACAGAAATTGTTTCATATGATGTAAGATCATATGATATATTTAAATTTTTTATTGATTTAGAAGGTTAAATTTAAATCTCAATTTTAAATGTGCATATTACAAAAACAGTGTAGTATAGGCCTTTGGTGTAATGTTTATTTCTGCATTTAGGCCATTTATTTAAATTTGTTTCTGTACATTACACAGCTGCTCTTGAAGCTTTTTTTTTTAAATGTTTCTGATCTTATTTAAATTTTGAAGTGTTGCTTTCATGTATTTATTTTCCATGTTTCATGTATAGTGTTTTTATCATATCCAATGCTTCTCTTTTCATGTTGCTTTTTATTTATAAAAATTATGTAGGAAATTAAGATTTACCAAGGCATTCTTATTTTCTTCAAGAATTGTAGATTAACTAAGAATTAAATGTACTTTAGGTTTTATCCTTCATATAATCATAATAAAAAATTATCAAAATTATTTTCATGAAGTGTTTCATATATTTTTACCGTTTTTAATCCTTAGTTTCTTTTTAACCTTACTCATATTTTAGTGTGACTATAGTTGTTTAGTATGTATGGAACATTATAACTGAATAAAGTTATATGCATCCCTAAAATCCAAACTAAAAAATAAATTACTAAAAGAATCGTGATTAGATCTGAAAGTATTTTGGTAAAAGTATAGTTTAGAGTACCCCTTGGCTAAACTCTGCGATTTTTGGTGGTACACGGATACCGATTTTGTGCAATTCTTTGACTCGTTATTTTGGCTTGCGAATCGCCGATTTTTGCACCAAAAATCGCTGCTACACAAAGCCCAAAATAACAAGACAAACAATTGCATTTACTCGGTATCCATGTACACATCGACTTATTTTCACTTAAAAAAAATCCCCGAATTGCACAAAAATGACATTGCACACTCCTTTGACTTTATCCATGTACACGTCGACCTATTTTCACTTAAAAAAAATCCCTGAATTGCACAAAAATGGCATTGCACACTCTTTTGACTTTATCCATGTACACGTCGACCTATTTTCACTTAAAAAAAATCCCTGAATTGCACAAAAATGGCATTGCACACTCTTTTAACTTTATCCATGTACACGTCGACATATTTTCACTTAAAAAAAATCCCAGAATTGCACAAACTTGCATTACGCACTCCCTTTTTACTTTGTCCATTTACTCATCGATATATATTCACTTAAAAAGTCAAAGGAGCACCGAATTCTACAATATAGGCACACAAAAAATACATAATCTCAATAAAATACATTTTAAACCAAAGAATAAAATAACATAAAAAAAAAAAAACATGTTATACATTTAAGCACTATCAAAAGGAAATATTCACTTACCATGATTTTCGAGTACACTTCATACACCCAGAGCCACATAAAAATCAAAATCTAAATCATACTCAAATGACTTTTTTCAAACCAGGTACTCTTTCTGATCAAATGCTTCACATAGTGACCATCTGAACCTATCTTCCTACAAACCCATTCAAATCCATCTAAACGTTTTTTACGTTCGACTAGACGCATATCCTTTCTACATACAGGACACTTATAATGGCTATTAAAGTAAACCTTCATTTATATGCCAGTCAATAAAGCTCTTTTCCCCTTTCGCTCCAAATCGTACAGAAACTTCAAATTAATCTCAGCTACATTCAGCCATTCTACTGTCTAAAGAATCAAAACCCAACACACACCACAAAAATGCTTACAAAACATTCCATGATTCAAAAATTCCCAGAATCATGCACCCGATTACGTCACAATAAGGTTTCCATAACATTAAACTACTCAGGCTACCATAAATGAAACGACAACTTGGCGATAAATCAAATAACAACTTCGCCATAATACAAGGGGTACCTTAAAGTCTACTCTACCCAGTATTTTAAATCAAAAAGCTTCTGTTAAGGCTGGCAATTCAAATTTTAAATTAGCTGTATATATAAATAATGCTTTCTAGTTTTTAAATAATCTTTTTTTAAAAAATTAAATGTTTCCAAATTTAGTTTTCTTTCATGTTTAACTTTTTTAAATTACTTTTTCTAAAGTGTCATAATTTTTTCCCTTATGAAATTTTAGAAATTTATGACAATTTTATGTATAAATATAAAATATTTAACGGAGGTATATTTAAAAAATGCAAATAACTCATATAAAAAGCCCATATATGAAAAAATTTACCTTATTGGGCTGGTTCTTTTGTATTATTCATTTGATGGTAAAATTATGAATTTGGTGTGTAGATATATAGTTAAGTATATCTAAGCTGTCTGAAATAAAAAATTGGTAACTGCACTTGAAGAAGGTTTCCTTTTACAAAAGACTTGTATTTGCTTGTGTTTTTGTTAAAGAAATCCAAAGAAAATTTTCACTTTTAGGGGAGAAAAATAGAAATAGTGTTCTGAATTTATTTTATGTAGTGATTGTAGAACATTTTAACTTTAATGAGAAAGAATATGCATACGTAGCTAAATTTTTCAAGGTATGTTAGTACAGGCTTCAGCTCTCAACACTGAAGCAGGCAAATATAGAAATGATATATAGAGACGTAATGATTTTGAACCATGATATGCGATACTTCCTTTGTCAAAGTTGCCACCATATATGCATTGATGAAATTTTGCAGCTTTAAAACTTATTTACTGCTATTAGAAAATATTATTAAGGCAATCATCAAAAAGTGAAAAACTAATGTACAGACGGAATAACATTTATTTACCTTTATACAGTGTATCATTCTTAAATTGCTGTCAATATAAAATCATTTTCTCTCATCTGACATGCTGCCATCACATAAATTCTCAGTGTGAAGGGAAAAGTGATAAAAAATGAATACTAGAACCAGGAAACCAGTTATTTCCATAAAAACCTCCTCTCCCCTTAGCTTTTTACAGTACTTCTTCAAATATTTCGTTATACAATAATTTTAGTGGCCATTTTTGCACCTTCACTCGGATTGCAAAATTTCATGCTCTTAAGAAAAGACTACTACTACTACTACTTCTTTTTCAAATGATGTTATGATATACAGTCAAAAGTCGTTAATCCGGACTCGTCGGGACTTCGGCGATTCCGGATTATAGATCATCAGTTTAAATCTCGTAAGATGGCATGCAGAAGGGTAACAAAATTTACAAAAAAAAAAGCTTAATATTTATTTGTTTACTTTATTAAACATTTCTATCAATGTAAGTTGTTTAAGTTGCTTCGTTTTATGTGATAATACTTTCTCTTTTATTCTATAAACAGACATAATTTCTCGTTCAGTTACAAAGTTCCGCTGTTCAAGTCCCGTAATTGCTGTGCCGAGAATACGGACTAACTTGTCAATCGAAATTTTTTCATTTTCACTAACTACTCTGTCACCTTCTTCATGTCTT